GGCTCAATACGCCTACCTGACGCAGTGAAGTGTATCGATGGAAGGGTGGACTGATCATCCACCCGTACCTGGGTTTTTTCAACTGTTGCTTGTTTGTTGTGGTCACCTGGTTTGTTTCATGGCGGTTCATGTACCTGAGGTTGTTCCTGGAGGGTTTTGATCTTTAGGCAGGCCTCCAAACTTGTAACCATGGCCTTCAACCTGGATGCGATGGCCTCCAACTACTATAGCAATGGCCTCTAACCTTGGCTGTCTTGTGTTTCTTGTCACCAACCTACCAACGATGGCCCCTCAACCTGCTTTCGACGGCCTCCAACCTAAGAGCGATGACCTCTAACTTTGGCTGCTTTGCAGTTTCGTTTCTTGTTACCAACCTGCTAGCGATGGCCCCAACCTGCTTTCGTTGGCCTCTAACCTAAGAGCGATGACCTCCGACTTACTTTTCCCGTTTTACTTAGGCCCCGTTTTTCACCTAGGTTTCCGTGTGGCAAACCGCAATCGAATCAGTACGCATTTCCTAAGTGTGTCTCTCCTAGTGAGAGCCAAGGGTGTACCCGAGGAGTGTCCCCTGTGGCCCGTCAAACGGGGTTTGTCTCTGTTTCCCATGCTCTGCAAACGCACGCGCCCACGTTATTTGCCAAGACTTGCTGAGTTATTGCATTTGAGTAGGCTTTATGCCAAAAGGTGACCACAGCGGTCAGAGCAGCCAGCCATTTTGGCAAGGCACAAGGTGACCATAGCGGTCAAAGCTTTTTAAGGTTCACTGTTGGAGCCTTAGCCCCCCTTTCCTTCCCTTTCCCGCTCCCTTCTTCCTGCTCTTTCAATTCTCCCTGCGCGCAATAACCATGTACCCCTCTCCTTGGCGTGTCCCTGGACGATCATTTCGTAGCTGGGAGCACCTGCCCCCTTTTCCCTTCTTCCCTTCTCTTCCTCTTCCTCTTCCTCTTCCTCTTCCTCTTGCTCTTGCTCTTTCTCTTTCTCTTTCTCTTTCTCTTTCTCTTTCTCTTTCTTTCTCTCTCTCCCTCTCTCTCTCTCTCTCGCTTTCTCTCCTCCCTCCCCTTTCTTTCTTGCTTGGGTGTCCCTGGATGCTTTCGCCATAGCTGGGAACCCTTCTCATCTCGTCTTGGTGTGTCCTTGGACGCTTGAGCCGTAGCTGGGAACACCATGTTGTCTTTTCCTGTTCCTTTTCTCTTCCTGTTCTCCCCTCCTTTCGCGCGCAGCGTGCTTACAAGCAAACTAGGTTTTACAACAGGCGTTTCAATGAGGCTGGGCCTTTCATCGGTTTGTCCCCTTTCATTTGGTTCCCTCTTCATTGGCCCCCACAGACTTCTTTTCCTTTTCTTTCATGTCCTTCTGTCTTCATGTTTCGTCATCCTCATCCTTTTCTTCTCTTGCGCGCACTTTCACCCGGGCCTTAGTTTGTGCACATGCACGCACGCGTATTCTACTTCAAACTAGGCTCAGGTGCCCCAGGTTTGTTACAATGAAGTTTGGTTCATTGGTTGTCCCTCTGCACTTGGCTTTCCTTCATCAGCAACCACATACACTCCTTTGTCTGTCTCATCTTTCACTTTCATCTGTCTTCTTTTGCGCACACATGTGCTCGCACAACCCCCTCTCCGGGCAGGATGGGGGTGCCTCCTTCCCAGGCAGGACGGAGGCCACACATGCCTCCCTTGTGGGAGGCATGTGTGCGTGTGCCCGCCCGTGGTCACGGAGGAGGCGATCCTCACCATGACCAAGCTATACGCAAAACAAGGACATCATCCCAGAGAATGCCCCCTGTTAGTGCGTGGAAAAAGCGGCCCAGGGCCTCGTGCGTGACAACCGATCCTTAAAGGGTGCACCGTTAACGGCTCCTTGTGTGTGTGTGTGTGTCACGCCCTGTTTCCAAGGGCCTCACACACTGCTACTAATCTCTTCTAGCTTGAATTCAACTCAACATACTGTACAGTCTGTGCAGCGGGCAGAAGAACCGTTGCAAGTCTCCTGCCAACAAAGACACTTGCAACTGGTGGTGATACCAGACCTCATCAGTCTGGCGTACCTGGATATAGCTCGTTTGTGAGTTCAAAACATATCCACCTTTCTGTTGTGAGCAGGGCGGTCTTCAGGCTTCAGCGTTCTACTCGGATAATGCAGTAACTAAAGTAAAGTGCTAGCTTCACTGGATTCTCGTAACTGATTCTGCTCTTGCGAGCCTATATCTAAGTGTGCAGAAAGTTGCTGTATCAGGCTGATCCTTTCCTCCGCTGAGGCCTTCTACTTCTAGGCTGAGGGAGGGAATAGAGCTCTGGGTGTCGAAAGTGCACGTTACCTTTCGTATTGTGCACCGAAAACTCTGGCTTGCCATGCATCAGTCTGGCGTCTCTGAGAAGGAATGCAACGCGTGAAATAAACAATTACAATAACTGACTGTCTGTCAAACTTACACACGTCAAAATCTACCAGCATTCTTGAAGCCAGTTTAGCGGCAGTATGCACAGGAGAATGCTTACTGCCAAAACTTGGAAAGGGCTAGCAGCTACGTAAGGTTCTACACTGCATCCGGAATGCACTCAAGAGATTCCAGTGACTAAACAGATGTCAGGAACTCCAAAAGCCTGTACTGTGTGGTTTCAAGATTTCGGTTTGAGTCGTTGGGCTTCTAGAAGTGATGCTATGTACCAAATTCATGCGTTTTTTGTTTTGCTTCAAGTGCATTGCATGGCATATTCCTGCCGGAGTCTAAAGGCTGCACAACCTGCCCTGGGAACTGCCCTTTTGACCTGTCTGCCATGCCAGAAACTTCTTCCAATGCCTTGAACTGTCTACTTCTGAAGAATTAGGCAATCGGCAAAAACCATCTTCTGCGACACAGTTCGCTATGCTGGCTGCAGATTGATAAACAGCTTTGAACTTGGAAAAATAGGAGTAGACTTTTTGGTGTTCGCAAGCAAAGCTCTCACACTTCAAACTCCTCTTGCAAAAATGCAGTTCTAGAAGCGCAACATAAGCCTCTTTGGAGTTATGTCAAGCCAATCTTCCAGTGACGTAAAGCAAAGAAAGATATTCAGTACTCTGGCGCAATTCTGAGGCCTTGCAACGAGAGCATGTCGGGGCAGCTGGACCACACGGTGCACAATGATTCAGGTCAGATCCTGTCTCTCGCTGAGGTCGTAGCTGGAGCACAAGCAGCGTCTTTCACACGCTAACGTCCTTCGCAGATTCGCAAATTCAGGCTAGAGAACCATATTGGTCCAAACTTCAGGTACAGTGTGCAAGGTTCAAAAGGAGTTAATCGAACGGGCCAGGATAGCTCAACGAATCAAAGACTGAAGTATACAGTGTACAGAAGTGCTGTGTGCCAGAAGCTCTTTCTCTGTGTCGATGCAAAGAAGCACCACTCCCTAGGGCTTCACGGGAGCCATAAGACGACAACAGGGCTAAGTCTTGCAGCAGGGACTCCAAAAAGCATTAGCAGTACATAGATGTTGTGCGACTTCGCCCCATATTCATTATTCAAGTCCTTCTTCTTGTGATCCTCCTCCTTGTCATCAGCCGTTTTCTTTTCCGGTTCCTTCACTCAGACGCTGGAGATCCCATTCTGTAGCTTGAACATCTAATACCAAAGATGTGTGAGATCAGCATGAACAAGCCATTAATAAATGGATAAACCAACTCAACTCCGATCAACCAACTCCCAGCCACAAAGAGCAATAAACCCAAGCACTGCCCGTGGTTACAAAATTCACATTGAATTTCAGATAGTCTTGTGTTTCCCAAAGCTAGGTGCAAGTACTGAACTGCTGATCTCAATTCAACTCTATGATAAAATAGGAATTTGGGACATGTGCTTTGTTTTCCTGATTCAAGCAAGAAATGAAACAATCATGGGTGGCAATGTGATCCTTTTGCCTCCTGTGCCCCAGAAGTAGCAAAGCATTTATGCGCTCAAGGTTCACAAGAGTGTTGAACATTGCGGTCCTTCTTCTCCTCTGTCTTGTTTGCAGGTTTAGGTGGGTTAAGCTTAGCCTCGGATTGGCTCCGCCCTTCTGCATTTGGCACACTCATACAAGTGTTTATGAGGGGAGGAGACAATGCTTGCTAGTTTAAATCTCCAAACATGTTGCTCTGACTTGGTAAAAGCTGTATATTATATGTATGTCCACATATATATATATATATACATATATATACAGTATATATACAGTTAGTGAGTCGTCGACAAACCAGGTTATCTTTGCATCCAGGAAGCCCACGCTTCTTGTTCTGCTTTGATCAGATAGGGACCCTCAAGTTTGTCTGGCTTGTACTGAGCTTGTCTCTTGGTGAACGAGTGGGTCTTTCGCGTTTGGCCACCATGGGAGATCATCTGCGGCGGTGAAAACGTCGGAGCAAGCACAATCACACTGACTTATATAACCCCTTCGAGGTTGGCACTAGCGCAATGGAATATTGACTAAAGCCACTGCTTCAATCAAGTGCAGTATGCAGCAAATCTAAGGAATCTGTGCTCCACAGCTACGGCTGTCCAAAGCAAGAGTTCCCCAATTCGCGTGCCAAGGAAAAAATGAAGGAAGAGTTACAGTAATTAAAAGAATGGATTTATGATTTATGGTCTAGAAACAAAGCAAAGGAAGAAACACAGATATCTGCCCACCTCCAACCTCACTTTGTCCTTCCAAAGAGTCGCATCGACAAACCCTGAGTTGCAAAACCATCAGCAAATACAGTACATGGCAATTTCATCCACTTCTACCCTGGGCACCTGCTCAACCTGAACCACATCAGCTTGTTTTGATTTGTTTTGACCTGGAATCCAACGAACACATTTCAGATTGTTCGAACTAATATTTTGTGGTCTTGTGCATTCATCACGGCAGACCAAAAGTACAGGTTTTCCCTTAATGAGGGCCTGCACATGGTTGCCACCATTGATGCTAGGACAGAGTCACATCATACACCTGACCAAAGGACCTTCGGACCTAGCACCAATATGACTCCACCCTTTTTTGCACCTACTTGACTACTTGATTGCTGGCTGATGAAATGGGATAGGACAATGACAATGCATTCAACTCTTTGCAGCCAGTGGATCCATACTGATCGTCATTACCATTGTTGTCTGGCCAGAACTCCGATGTGATGCCACCACCTCCACCTGTAATGATGCACACCTTGAGACAGCGACTGTCCAACTGAGCAAGTGCAGCATCTGTTTTGACACGCTGGCCGAGTGGTCCAAAGTTAGCTTCACTCAAAACCTAAACGTGTTTTCTACAGCAAAGGTGTTTGAAGGAACTGAAATAATATCCTTGAAATACCCAAACTCCTTGTTTGCTGCCACAGTACTTACTTCTAGTTTCTTTATCCTACCAACATCATCTTTGCTGCTGTTCCCGCATTGCCGATTTTGCCGCGGCACAGAAGGCTTAAATTGGTTTCTCCAATCCCATTGCTCCAGAACATCTTGACGATGAACATGCCCGGTCACAAACAAGTCAATGCCATACTGCCAGGCCAAATACTTCCAATGAGCCTGGAACCAGACCCACACAAGCTGAACGAACACACAAGTTCTGTATTCGGTTCATTGCATCAATGCACCCTTTGCCGAAGGCTGCATGTTCTGCACTGAAGGTGCGGAGGCGTGATTCTCCCGAGGGCTTAAAAAAGTACAAATTAGAATTAGATGTATTCAGGCAGTGGTCATCTTTGCTCTAAAACCCTGAGCTGCTCCACGCTTTTGAACATGTGTTGAAACTCTGCCAAGGAAATTGCATGTCAATGATGCTAGCCAATTTGCTGCATCACTTGTACGATATTTCGTGAAAATAGAATAGAATAGTCAAAATAGTCATCAAAAGGGAATTGAAGGCTGATTATATAGAGAAATGTGAAGCTGTAGTGACGGTGATGGAACTGACTGAACCATGAAAAGTGATGAAAGCGCACGTTGTGTGGTCAACAAGACTTACAGGAAAGGATTTTTCATGGGCATGGGCCATGGGTTCTAATTTGCAGTAATTTGGCTGCCAATCTAGGGCATCACAGCTTGAATCGCCCCATCAATATCCGAGGCCTGCTTTGAATCGAGAGGACATCACCGAAAGCTATTTTTTGAAAGGACACGCAACGCGACACTCGTAGGGCGCTTCGCCCAACCAAGCAAAGGCCGGATCGGCGTTGATCGTTTTGCCGGTGTTGCGATAGAGATCTAAGACGAGTGGGAGCCAAGAGTCCAGGGGTCGATGACGATGTAAACAATGCAGACCAAAAAAAAGAGGAAGGGAGGAAGGGGAGGGAGGGAGGGAGGGAGGGAGAGAGAAAGAGAAAGAGAGAGAGAGAGAGAAAGCGAGAGAGAAAGAGAGAGAAAGGGACATCATGTGACAATTCTCATTGATTCCAAAGCTTGCGCTCCCCTGGCACCATGCTCTCTTCTGTACTTCACGCAAGTCCGAAGCGCAGGAAGGCGAGGAAGAAGAGCAACAAGCATGAGATCGTCAAGCAAGCGCACTCCATGGGCTCTCGCCCATCCCATTCCCAATAACTGACCTTTTCTATGCCAGCCTGTCCTGCGGAAGCAGGTGGAGCAAGTGGAAAGGTCAAAGGCAAAGGGCGAAGGATAAGCCAACTCCACAGGCCCAGCAGGAAAACAAAGTGACGGCGGCAATGGAAAGGTCGTGCAACGCACTGGACATTGTAGCCCCTCACAGACTGGAGAAGCCCTCAACGGATTACTAGGCTCCCGCTCAGAAGAGTCTCGATCCACTGCATGCCTTGAGCTTGAGCGGCGGTTGAACATCATTCACTGCTATCAGTCAATACATGTCAATATTGGCTATATATCTATGCCTCGGTGTGCACCAAATTTGATTGACATCAGGATTCATAATTCTTTGCAGCTGCAATCTGCAGGGATCTGTCCGCGTTTGCATGTCCGCTTTCTCTTGGCATTCTGACATTTGCACAGGCCAAACCATCATTGGCTATGGCTGGACACCTGCAAGCCTATCTGCAACAGTAAGTGTAGTGATTTCTGTTTGTCTGCAACTATATACCGTCTTCCCAAATCTGCCTGTTTGTGGGACTTACATGATTGTTGTTTCTTGTCTGTCCCACTGGTTGTCTAGGCAGTGACAATGGTAATGGTATGATAGTTTGAACACTCCAAACCTGTCCACGGGCTCAGGTGCACAATTAGTCTTCCGGGAAAGTTCTCTTATAATCTCCGGCCGACCAGCAACAATCTGTAATCGTGACCAATCGAAGTGCACTTGCAGTACTTGTAATGTGCTTGGAAATGCGCCACGCCCATTCATGCAACATGAATCCTCGCCTCGCCCCACCAAGGAGGGAAATGTGTAACCACGAATTGCCAATCAACTTGATGCGTGACCGATTCTTTCAACTTCGCATCAAGCCAGCCTGCGCTTTGATTATTCCATGCAAACACCGAGGCAGTGTAACAATTAGCAGCAATCAAACATTGCATGAGCAAACCCCCAGCCTGACTGAGCGTCCCAGAGATGACCAAACCATTTCGAACAGTCGAAGACGGAATATGGTCCTGAATGCCCACAACCTGCACCTGTCAGGCTGTCAGGGAAAGAAAACGCACGGTCTGTCTTCCTTCTCCGAGTCAATGCACGTTGCCAATGTTCTTTAATTATCCATCAAGCCCCCTCTCCATTGCCAATGAAGCAAGTCCTATGCAATGCAGTCAGAAGGATGCATGTACAGTATTTACCCTGGCGCAGAAACTGATTCAACTGTAAATGCACGGTGACGGTGAACTCCAGCTGGGTGTCTATCACATGTGCGAAGGCTGCCGAGGAGACAGTAGCAGTGAGACAAACCAGAATCTCTGAACGACGTGGGTGGAAACATCAGAATCAGAAGGCACAGAGGTTGGCGAAACATCTTACAAGCGGCACCAAGAAGCAGCTTTGCCCAAGACAAGTGGAGCCCACGAAGACAAAGCACATCGCAACAAACCAAAGCCAGTGCTTCGGCAATTCTTCCGCAATTCCATCAGTCCATCAATTATAATTGTGAAACAAAAGCATTCAGCACCAAAGGCTTGTCACTTGGCAAATCGAGATCGAACATGGAGACCGATGGAGCCCATATTGCCTGCACCGCCTTTCAAGAGCTTCATCATAGCAGTTATCGGATCATCTGGGATCAATTTCATCAACACTGTCTCTTTCCGCAACAGTCACTGAAGCAAGGGGAGCCACTTTTGGAAGCAAGGGCAGGAGTGCACTTTCAATATCGAGCAAAACACTCCATTCCCAAACTAAACAGCACATGCTTGAATAATCTTGAATAGATTTACATAAGTACCCCATGAAATCACTCAGAAGAAGCACCTGCATAGGTACCACTGTGCTGAGCACCACAAATGTTGTGCTCAGGATCCCACCAGGGGCTCTCCCTGCCATGACGGTGAAAGCCGTAAGATATAGGAGCAATGAGAATAAAATATTCAGTGTTGCTTCCAACAAAAGGAGTTCATGCACGGTTGCTTTCTTTGAAGTTTCAAGCAAGGTGCCTGACGTCGAAGATGTTGCTGTCGACAAACAACCAGTCGACATTGAATCCAGGGTAGTCTTAGCAATCAAACAGTGTAAAGAAGCTGCAGAGCAAGTGATTTCACATCTTGCAGAAGCAGAGTTCACACGAGTCTCCTTCACAAATACACGAATAATCCTATGATACGAGGTGCAGGTACTGGCAATGTGGGGCTCAATTGTGTCAAGTTCATTCAATGTTTAATTCAGCATGCATGAACCTCATTGCACACCTAGGCCACAGTCGCATGCCCTACAGTTGTTCCTTCTGCCCATGGTTGCAGCCGGTGTGTGTGTGTGTGTCACCACCTGTCTCCAAGGTCTCTCCATACCCATGTTTCACCACCATTCTTCCAGCAGGGGGATCAGGGACGTTTGGCTTGGCCTGATCCAACGAAGCTCCAACCATTCATCAGGATATTCCCGAGGCACGACTTGGGAACGTACCTGCTTGAGTTTGAACTGTTTTCAAGCTGTCCAATGCAGTGTTGTGCAGTAATTGTCTAATGGGCTGAAAAAACATGTTAAAACACCCTCAAGTGAACGGACTTCTTCGCCTTGCGGTTCCTGCACCATTCAGATTCAGTTCATTCAAGTCAAGTGGGACTTCATTTTGAAGCTAGCTCTTGCGAGCAACCATCCAAGTGTGTGTCGCCACAGAGTCCCACTCAAACTGTGGTGTGATCCCGTCGAGGGGCGCAGCATGTGCGCCTGGCGGGCCCACTCTGATTGCTTCGTCTCTGCGCTGGGACTTCGTTCTGCAACCCCCTTGGTCGACTGCTATGCGCGATACCACTGATACTTTGCCGCAGGGCTTACTGAGATCGAACTCCAGCCCGAAATTCTCGCACGCCGCTACGTATTCACATGTACATGTCATACGGCTAAGTATTCACAGGCCGGAAGAGAGCGAGAAACGAGAGTGGGTTTTGCGCTTGTGTATGCGCCTAAGGTTTTGAGTCATGAAGGAACGCTACTAGGGGCTCCGGGCTTCGCTACCAAGAGCAAGGGTGATACCACTGCAGGTTCGTGGCCGTACTATGAGGAGTAAGGATGCTACTAAGGGCTCCTAGTATTGCTATTAGCTTGCAAGCTCGGGATTCAACAGGGGAGCTCGGACGAGGCCTTTTCAGTCAAGCGAGCGCCGGTTACGGCTTTTGTCACGCCTTCGGGCAGACACCACCACCACCA